TTTGTAACATTCAATTTTGAACCGATCGTGAACAATTTGCAGACTGTGTCTGGGGAGACATTATTAAAGCTATTTGTGTCATTTCATTTATATGGTACATTCATCTAAAACAAGAATAGAATAACACAAAAACATTAATAGCATCTACTCGAGTGCATTCCTGATGGCTGGAATAGCTCTAGTTGGATAAATTTAACGTATCTGTATATATAAGTACATATATTTTATGTATCTATATAACATTTAAATAAATTACTTAATTAAAGATAAACAGCTGTGTTCATGTTATGCATTTTGATATAGGCATACTGGCTGCGTTCGGAAACGTCACTCGGATGCCTCCGACGCAGCCACTATATATATTGGACGCGATGAGCGATGAGCGACAAGCGATATCCAATAAAAGCTCGTTTTTTCTCTTAAGTCCATTCTATATTAGATGCAAGCTGATCGCAAGTTTGTTGCGACAGCCAATCTGAAACTTGCATTTTGAAATCAACATTCCATATTGGCTGTCGTAACAAACTTGTGATCAGCTTACAACTAATGTAGAACCGGCTTTATGTAAACCGGCTCTATGTAAAGCCCATTCTACAATTGCGTAAGCATAATTGAAAGTGCTTGTAGTTATAAGAATTGACTAATCACAGTCGAATATTTTTTTCATATTCAACTGTGATTGGTTAAGTCTTACATCATTTACAACTACGCTTACGCAATTGTAGAATGGGCTTAAGTCTGCAGCCTTTATTTTTAAGATCATCTCAAACATAGGCCACATTCTGCAGAAAAAACAGCTTTGTAACTGTTGTAAAATTCTTTAATATGATTGAACTTAGTCATTGGATCTATATGTATAAATCAATCATATTTAAGAATTTTACAACAGCTGCAAAAGCTACTTTTTCTGTTGAATACAGTTATTATTTACAGTTATATGCATTTTAGATCCATAAGGAATAAGGAATCAAGATCTAATCATATTGAAAAATTTTACACAGTTATAAAGTTGCTTGTGCTCTGGACACCAACAAGATATTAAAGACCATCTTTATGGGAGTTTGCGTCCTTGTGAATATTGAAATGATTAAGAGTTAAAAACTAATAATATTGTACTTATTTTATGATTTATTAGTTTATTTAGTAAATATATTTATGTATTTAGAACTCAATAATACTCGATTTTTCTTTAAAGTTGTGATTTCAGTGTTATCGTCAAAGTTTGATTATCAAAAGAGATGATAACTGTAAAAAAAAAATTATAATTTCTTTATTAATTATCAATATATAGGATATTCAATATATAGGATATTCAATATATTCAATATATAGGATATTATAACTTTACAAGTATGTATATTTATTTTTATCAGAAGGTAATTTCCTTATTAATCCACGAAGTTTTAAATCTGATATACTGTCTATTAAAGTATGCTAATGGAACATTTAATGTAATAAAAAATCATGAATTTAATAATATATGAACCAAATATTTATGTTAATAATAGCAAATTTATATCAATTGTCGATAATATTAGCGCTCTTCAATTACCTCCTAGCCCTTGGGGCCCTTTTTTATATCGCCGAAAATTTGCCCAGGGTTGACGATCTTTAATAGTATCTCGTCAGTGCTCTGGGTATTGATCATGTATGTTTTCTCTAGAGCCGAAACGAGAAAAGTGAAAATTTTTAGGTATGTATGTGTATATGTGTTACATATCACATGCATACACAAAAATTTCACTTTTCACATATCCTAAGAAAGAAGTTACATTGATTGATCCTCTGTTAAATGCAACCATAATCTTAAGATGGCGCTTCGATTCATAGCCATTAAACAAACATATATTTGAGGAAAATCTCAGGAGGAGACACAAGAGAGTCTCAAGTCTCAAAGTGTTTGCATTTCATGCTTGATGTTGCTTGGTGCAGATGATCTTATTTGACAGTTGACACATCTTGATATTATTTATAAAGTTATTTTATTTGTATATGTATAGACTTAAAATTTTCTTATTAATTATAAATTCAATCGTTTAAGATTGTCTTATTTAACATATATGCTGTTAAATAAGGTAAGTTTCATCAAGTGTGGTCAAAGATGATTTAAACAAAAGTGAATACAAGGTTAGTAACAAATTTGTTAGTAACAATTTGTGTTTCAGGATTTTTCTTCAGAAAAATTTGGAAAAATTTATAGATCTAAAATATTTATATATTAATAGCTAAAATGGTCAAAAAGCAGCAATATAAGTGGAAATTGCGAGTTTACAAAATCAGTAAATTCAAGTATCTGCCTCTGACATCTTTGCTCCATAACTTTAACGTAAGAATCTTAGAAGAACTACTTCGACTTCTTATCCTTTCGTATAACATGATACAGGGGACTGAATATCAGGATATAAGGATTTTTGAATATAAGGATTTTTGAAATTTTAACTGTTTTTGATAAAATCATAAGTTAATGCGTAAAGATTTATCTTAATTGGGTGCTTTTAATTTAGGGTGCTCTGTTTAACATTTGCAACCTTTGTGAGCATTATTTTATCCTTGTGTTTAAATGTTAAACAAAGATGAAATGATGCATACACATTAAAGAGATTACATTTATTACATTTATACTGATTGTGTTATATTATTTTTTATCATAGGTTCACAGTAGTTAAACTTCTACTGATCCCTCGATCCATGGTAAATAATGATGATGATGATGCTCTGACCATTACCAGCAAATTGTGGAAAAAATAAAAACAATCAGAAGGAAAAATTTATGTAAACCATAAGAAGTACGCTATACAATGAAAGGATTGAACTCAAGATCAAGAGACTGGAATCATTATTGCCAGATGACTGGGAAATATGATTAATATTATAGAAAATGAGGTTTGATATTTTATGGATCACAATACTCAAACAATAATTTCAGGATCCAAAACTTAGTACATCCAAAAGATTAGTGTCAATCAAGCTTACTTAACATGCATAGGCGTGTTCTGGTGTACACTGCTAGTACTGAAAATCTATAGTATGTAATTGCGCAGTGTATATTAGAATGTAGCCACAGTAAAATAAAAGAAATTAGAACTATAAATCTTATTTTCCTTGTGCAACCTGAAAGATGTTCACGTTCCAAGGGCATACAAAAGTTTTTATTTCAATGAAAACTTCAATTCTGATTCTTATATCCAGCTGACTAATGCTATCTAATTATACTAAGATTAGTGTTAGCTAACAGACATTGTTTGAAGATTTCTTACCTTCAAATAATGAATGGAATTTTTGCACTAAAATAATTACATATAATATAAAGGAGAAAAGGGATTTATAGAAGTATACCTAGATATGTATATATAATTAATAAGAAACTTATTAATAAAAAGATGTGTAATTCGTATAATCATATATCCACTTTGTATGAAAAGCCACTTTGTATGAAATAGCTTACACATTTAGTATTCATTCTCAGTCACTATGGAGAAATTAAATAATTCTGATTTTTATAGGTAATGGTTTTCTTTATTAAGTTACCACGAAGTTTTAAATCTGATATATTGCCTATTTGAGCTAATAAAAGCAATTACAATTTACAAATAAATCCAACATTACGTCAATCATGATCATTTACAATATTTCAAATTTATAGAAAGATTTATTACAATGATATATTCTTATTTTATAGATAAGGATTTATAGATCATTTTTTTGTATTATTGGGTTGGCAAGAAAATAATAGCGTTTTTTTAAAAGATATCTATTAGTAAAAATCGCAATTACTTTCTTACCAACCAATATAAATATATCTTGATAGAATAAAGTTTTAGCTTTAAAAATTTCTTTTTAAACAGCGATACGACAATTTTTAACGGAGTTATGAGCAATTAAAATAAATGCCTTTTATTTAATCCGCGATAATTCAGTAATCAAAAATCATAGGAATATTTAAAAAAACGATTTTATAGAGAAAGTATCAAGCTTTCATATAAGTAAGTAATCGATAAGTAATCGAAAATTTTCCGTCTTTTTCAGTATGTAAAAACTAAAAGCTCGTAATTTTTAGTATGTAAAAACTAAACTCATATAAACTTAAAAAAATATGGTAAGTTTTTAACAATAAAGATATTAAGCTTTAAAATTCTTTGTTTTAATTTAAATTTCATTCATTATTGATGAAGATATTGTACATACAACTTTGAACTAAAAAACACAATTACTTCCTTGCCAACTCAATATATTACATGATAAAGATTATCTATTTTTTTATTTTTTTCAAATCCTTTATCATTGCCAATTTATATATAATGGATTTTTAATACTGTTTTATAAACGCATGTTGAATAAAAAATTAATAATGAAGAATACAGAATACATCGTTTCGAAATTCTATAAATCTCTCATATAAAAGAAAATAACATTGATGAATGTGGCCTAAAATTATACATATAGTGTAGGTTTTAAGAGTTTAAATCAAGTTATATAATATGAGTTAGAGAGAGATGATAAAATTAAAGTAGATGAAGACAATAAGGAAAACTATGTTATGTACATTTCTTTGTAACAAAGATGATTGTAATGTAGAAAATCATAAAAAGAAAAGAAATTATACACATTATATGCGTATATCGCTGCATAGATAAAAAAGTGCAAAAAAAGAAATTAGTATTTTTGAGATGAAAGAAAATTCGAAATAAAAGGAAATCAACCCTATAAAATAATATATTTTTGTGAAAAAATACTACATATATGTATGTATATAAAAATATAGAGAATTTTATTACTGATTTTTTCTGCTAAACGCAGTCGATTATTTGATTTTTTTACAACATCTCGTTTTTGACTGCTCTTCATCAAACTTCAGCTGAATCTAGAATTTTTGGCAGATTATTATACGTGGAGAGAAAAATTTTCAATTCGTCATTTCTTTTGATGTTGACAAAATATTATAATATTTAAGTTATGTATTTATTTAAAATTTCTTAATCAGAACATTCATGAAGATAATCATGTATCTGATATATCGCTTTTTTACTAGCATAATTTTTGCGATGATAAATGCGACTATTGTGTTGTATATGTGTCAACGCGTAGGTTATAACTATTTTTAAATATTATTTTATTCCACATTAACATTCCAACATATACATGAGAATATTATTCTATACAAAAGCTTGCAGCGACATTACTGCAACGTTTGCAATATTGCTAAAATGTTGCGGCAATATTGTTAAAATGATCTGTGATCTGATTTACAGACAATAATAGTAAATTTATATTATACTCATCTGTTTATTAGATTCTGTGTTCTATATTGTAATATAAAATTTAGAGATATCCGCTAAAATTATTTAATTTTATTATCTGAGATTAGATATATATAATAATTTAATAATGCATATGTTGGAAAAATAGTCAAAATTTTAGAAAAAAATTAATTGTTTAGTATGAATTACTTATTAAAGTTCTTGAATTGAATTAAAAACAATTTTTTAACGTGGTTCCAATAAAATCAGATTTGAAGGAATTAAAAAATATTGGCCATTATATCTAAATATTGAAGGCAAATAATATACATATTTCATATTATATTTTAATTAATATTTACTTAACAAATATTCGATTGCGCAATATATAATGTGTAACATTTCAGTTTTTCCGAGTGATGAGAGCGCATTATCGAATTATGGCCGAAGCTGAGAGATTTAATTCAGTTGTAATATATATTTTACACAAAAGCAAATTAATATATTAAATTTTTTTTTAATTTACGAAAAATGCAATTACTAACTAAAATTCTTTTCATTGGAAGAGAATTAAAATCAGTTACAAAAATCAATAATAAATAATATATTGTTATTCAATAGATTTCTGAGTCACGTGCAAGTCTCAATTACATTAGCTCGAAAATATCTGAAGGAATGGATCAGGTATTTTAAAGAAATCTTAACAGTTAAATAATGATACAACGTATTTTAACGTTTATTTTAACATTAACATGATGTTCATTAATTTTTAATTAAACTATTAATAAAATTAATAAAATTACTTGTATAGATGAAGGAAGATATTGCCAAAGAATTATTCATTACCGATCATTTAACGAAACTTAATTCGAGAGTAAGCCTGTTATTGCAACGTTATTCCGAATTGGAAGAAGGATTAATTGAGGTATAATTGTAATGTGAAAGACAAAAAGGTGACTAAGCTTTTGCATTTAATTTCAAAAGTAAAAAAAACTTTAATATGATTTAATAAATTTAAAATAGTATTTCGAGATAAAGTAATGCAAACAAAACAGAGATTTAAACATTTTTTTAAAAGAATATAAAAAAATTTTTTTTATTAATCATTATAATTTAGCTCTACTTTGATATAAAACATGATGTTATTAAATTCATTAATTTCTTTATGCTAAAATTATCTCTTTTGAGAAGCGCATGTGCGCACACAAGATATTAATAAATTCGGATCCATATTTTATTCACATTCAAAAATCATATATTTAAATTTCCTCTTTATTTGCAATTAAAAGCGTTGTTATCTTATCACCCATAATCAGCTAGTAAGAATGAATCATAATATGAAGAGTGTGCGGATTGAAACTCCAATTGACATCAACGAGGAAGTCAAGTGCATTCTTATGGCGGCAAAAAAAAATCAATCACAGCAGCAGCAACAGTCAGATCATCCTCGAACACCGACGAAATTGCGGACATCAACAAACACTTCTACAGGAGCGAAGGATCCTCAGCCGCATAATTTCGTCACGAGTTCGAAGTTCCTTACGTCGCAATCATATGATACCGATATCTCAAATGTAACATTTGAGAAACAAGAAAGACGTGCGCCTGCATATCCGGAAGTTCAGCTATTGAACGATCCAAGACCAGCAGTTGATATAAAAGCCATTGGTTTTCGACCATCCTGGAAGTGCGAAACTTAAGATAACTATCAGATAAACATGTTTTTGTACTCTTTTGATCTCTTCTTTTTCTAATTGTTATTGTTTATAAAAGTACAGAAAAAATTGTGACTGTGGAATAAGATAAATGAATACAACATTTCTGTGTTTGCCAAGTATTTCTGTTTACCACAAAGATATTCAACTTTGTAAAAAAATACTGCAATCATATGAAAAAAATTAATTCTTTCAAGAAATTTACATACTAAAAGCGTTTATAAAAATAGATTTGTGTGTGCGTGCGTGCGTGCGTGCGTGCGTGCGTGCGTGCGTGTATGTGTGTGTATGAAGAAGTGATAAAATGGTAGAAAAAGACTGCAAATGCTCTATCCTCAGAAAATAAATGTTTATTAAAATAAACTGTATATTATCATACCATATTACAAAATACAATTTATAAAATAAAAAAAAATTTATTTCTTTTATTTTAAAACAAATATTAAAGAAATATTTTTTTTTACATTTTCATAGTTATATGTCAATCTGTCATTTGCAATCTTTTTATGTTATTCTCCAATTAGCCAGCAATTTATTATCGTTCTTTTTATTTAATTATACATTTTTGCAGAATGACAGTATACAGTAGAGAGAATAAACCACGATACATTTTATCCGATCATTGATCGGTCAAATTTTGTCAAAGTGACAAAAGTTTTAAGTCATTTCTAAATTACAAAGAGGGAAAAAATATCTTCGCCGTGTCATGCTTTGGACATAAAATATATTTAAGTATATTTGCCCAATAGAAAGTTCTATTAAAGAGAATGATACATTATAATATTTCCTGTTATTCGTCTCCTGGTCTTAAGATTTAATCGCATTGAGTATTTATTTTTGCACCATATATTTCTGAAAATCAAACAATGAGCTGAATTAATATATACAACTAATTACACATCAACAATATATACACGCCGTTTATATTTAGATATGAATTAGCTATTTTTTACGATGCAGAATATTTCGAAAAATTGAAGGTGGGAGTAAGAGCTTCTTTCAAATAAAATCTAATTATTTTATTTAAGTATTATATTTAAAAATAAATAATTATTTTCACATCTTTATGCAAAAAATTTTTCGTAAATTTAATTAAATAAAAACAATTTCTCAATTTTGTTTAATTCATACGAGGATGAATTAATAAATATCCAGCTTCAGTTACAAATTCTATTCTTAAAATTTTTTATATAGGTTTTACTTGTTGCAAATATCTAATTTTTACTATTAAAAAAAATTTTAAGAAAATATAGTTAAATATAATTTCTGTAAAAAAATTTACTTTAAATTTAATTGAAACTTAATAATTGAAACACGCAAAAATCTATTTCAGAGTTTAATTCGTCATTTATAATTTTCTAATAATTAAATACTTGAAATGATTTTATAATTTTATCAATGTCTTGCAAATAAAACAACTTCTATTTTCTTAGTTCATCTTCTATAATTTGAAATTGAAAGTATACAATTAATAATTTTGTGCATATCGAAAAAAAAGATCATGTTCAATTATTTTGAAAAAAAATGTACTATAATTTTGATTGAAAAATAATCTCACGATTATACGCACGCGCGCGCGCGTGTGTGTGTGTGTGTGTGTGTGTGTGTACGTTTCATAATGTAATATATAAGTTCAGTTTTAAATTTGTATCTGTTAGAGGAGCAATGACAAAGGGATGATTTTAATTTCATTAATGTCAAATATCTTCTGAAGTTTCGCATAGATTACACGATTTTTTTTTTTTTTAATACAGCAAGTGTATACAGTTCACATTCTGTGATGTTTCTCAATGAGCTTATTTTTGCCTCCCTTTTTTGCTCTTTCTTATCCTTCATCTCGCTACTTTCCCTCTTTTATTTTGCTTTTAATTAACGTTGCTGCCTGTCTGCCAGATAATTATTGAGTCTTTTGACAAATCCGCCCCAACCAGCTCGATCGATTTCATCGAAGTTCCGCTTAAAGAGGCTGTCGAATGCAGTATCGATCTCATCGATGTTCCTCTTTGAGAAATGATCGAATACCGATCGGTCGATCTCGTCGAAATTGCCAGGCCGTACATTCATCACGCTGGGTCGCCTGTAATAATAAATATACTATAACTAATATGTAAGAATATCTCTTTTAATCTCGAATATTTTATTTAAAAACGAAATGTTATATAAACTAATAAACGACGTTTGTTTTAACGCAATAAATTTTAAAGAGGTACAAAATTTTAAAGAGGTACAAAATTTGGACCGACAGAAAAAAGATGTAATTTAAATAAAATTTTATATTCATTGTTTTTTAATTTATTTTTTAAGTTAAAACAATATAGCTTTCACTTTTTTTAGTTTTCATGAGATGTTTACAAAATCGATTTTTCTTTATCTGTAAATGTGCTTGTGAATATGTCATACTAAATGA